TATAATATATAATATAATATATATTATATATATAAATTATATATATAAATAAATTAATATATATAAATTAATTAATGACTTCAGAGACATATAGCATAACTTACCAATTAAATAATAAATAATATATTTTCCGGAATAAATATACTAATTTATTATATATTTATTATTTTAAAAATGTGAAAATGATATATATATATGAAAATGATATATAAATACTCATTAAAAAATTCATCTTTTTTTCAATTATAATTTAGTTTAAATTATTTTATTATTAATTTAATTATCTTATGTTCGAATAATCATTGAATAATCAAAATTCGAATAAAATTTCTTCGGAAAACAATTGCACAATAGAACTATTTTTCTAATAATAACAAAAATTATATAAATAGTATCTAAATAAATATATAAATAAAATAATAAATAATATTAAACGAAATTAAATGTCAAATAAATAATAGATTACGAAATAAAATAATGTATATTGCAAGTCAATTATAAATAAAAAAATATATGTAATTATTCTAGAGTAATAAATAAATTCATTTAAAGATAAAGTTGACAAATTAAAATTTTATTTAAGGAATAATATTAAGACACTGAAAATAATATAAAGTAATGTTGCGAGAATAGTATTGTTTTTGAGAGAAGAATTTAAAAAATCTTTGGAATTGTATATTTTTTAAAAACATTTATAACTAGAGAGTATGAACATAGTCTTGAGACAACATTTTCTAATCAATCCCAATGACAATCAGTATCATCTATTCGAGAAAATTTATTACAAATTTTATTACACTCGCGAATCAATTTCCTAAGAATAATGAACTTTGTAGATGGCATAGACCCTTAACTTAATTCTAGGAATTTTCCTTAGGGAATATTGTTCAAATAGGGGATTAATTCAAGATGTCATTGGCCACTTGTGTGCTCACTGAAGACTTTTCGCGAGAAGAAAAGGATTTTTAGAGGACAGGATTTGATAAAATTTATATTATAAATTTGATAAAATTCGAGAAGTAAAGAAGTAAATTAAAAAAATTTTTTAATTTCAGAATATTTTAAATTTTGAATTATTCGAATTAAGAAAATACCGTGACTTTTAGACCTTTGTAATCTCAAAATAATAGAACTTTTAGAACCACGTGAATTCAGTCATTCAGTGACAAATTTTCATTAGCATATGAATTTTGCTCTTGATCGTTTAAAATAGAACTTTAATAACAACGGATTTTGTAATTTTATTATTATATATCATAGCTTCATAAACGGCTCATAAATAAATAATTTTCTCGTCATATATTTACTTTGAATATTAAAAATAAAAAAAAAATTATATCTCAAATAATATAATAATATTTATATTTCAAATAATAATAAAAAATAAGAAAGAAAAGAAAGATAAGAAAAAGATAAGAATATAAATTAATATTCCATTTTCTTGATGAGAAACAAAAAAAAAAAAATAATCATAAAATATTTTATTGAAAGGAAATAAAAACGAAATTTATATTTTATATTTTTATATTTACAGTTATTTATAGTTATATTTTTATATTTATATATTTTATATTTATAATTATATATAATTAATTAAAAAATATCTTTTGTTTATATATATATGTATATACATAATTATATATATATAATATATATATTTTATATATATATATACATAATATTTATATGTGTATATTTTTTATACATTATTTTATATTATTTGTTTTAAATAATTTAGATCTAAAAGAATGTATTTACATTACTATACAAAATATTCCAAATATCAATTATCAAAATTCAGAAGTCATTCTTCCAAATTCTTTAGAAGAATTTTTTTTAAATTACTTTTCAAAATTATTATATAATTAATCTTTTTTTCTCTAATCAAATAATTTTTATTTTTTATTTACTATTTGATTTTAATGAAAATAATCAATTTTTTTAATATATAACAAAATGTTTATTTTATTATTGTTTATCTAGTAATTATTATATACTTATAATTATTATTAAAATGTATTGTTTAATGCTTATTTTGAATAATTTAGAAAGAAATTTTCGGCAAATGAAACTGAGTTATTTGAGAAAATAACTAAATTAATTAATTAATTTTTCGAAATATTCATTTTGCCAATTCTTTCAGTTGATCAAATAAAAAATATTCAAAAATATTTAATTAATCAAATAATCTCAATTGAAACATATTATTTATAAAATAATAAATTGTATTATTTGAAATAATTATTTTTAAATTATTATTTGAAATCAATTTCATTCAAATCTAAATAAAATATATGAATATGAATATGAAATATCCATTTTATTTTTTTGTATAGAATTGCAAAATAAAAAAATAAAATAAAGAAGTTCAAAAAATTATGCTATATAAACATAAGAGGATTATGAACTTCTGCAGAATTTTTGATTTTTTTGATTTTTCAAAATCGAATAAATTCGATTCAGAATAATGAGATAGTGTTACTTTTGAAAGAAATAATTTATGAAACTCTATTAAGTTATTATTATTAATAATAGAAAAATTTTATTGATATAGACATAATAGGAAACGTTAATTATAATAAAACAATTATAATTAAATTAACAATTTATTTTGTTTTTCAATAATCGCATATGTAAATTTTTAAATCCTCAATCATAATTCCTGTAATTGACCTTATAGACACTATTTATATATTTATATATAATTTATATATAATTATATATATATATAATTTATTTATATAATTTATTTATAAAATCTTTAGAAAATTTTAATTATACTACGAAAAATTCTAATAATAAAATTAAATATTTCGATTAAATATTTCTATCAATTTCTGTCATTTCTCTTTCATTTATTATATCATAATTAAATACAATTAAATATTTCAAATCTTAATTAATATAATAAAACTACAAAAAAAATTAAAATAAATTTCACTTTAATAAATACTCATAGAAATTTTTCATTATAAACACAAAAGTAATATAAAAATATATGGTCATTAAAAAAAATAATTATCAATGATTGCTATGTGAGAATGCTTTACATAAGATAGTGCTTTATAAAGATGCTTTATAAAGATAGTCATCATAAAATTATCAACACTATATCTATCTCATATCAAAATCTATCTCATATTTTTATTTTATCTCATTCATACTGTCTTATTCATACTGTCAAATCATCTTTTCAGAAATTTTTATTCTACTTATAGTACCAGATCTTTTTTCTATATTCTTGCTTACCAATTTCTTAAATTATTTTTTAAATAATTTTCTCAAAGGTTCATTAATATAACACTAATTTTTTCAATATTTACGTGTCTTGGTCTTTTTTTAATAAATATTTTTCTATAAATTTCTTTTTTTGCAAGTGCATTTTATTCCAAATTTTTTTCATAAAAAAACATTAATGAAATATTTTAATTTGAATTTCCATTCTGTATATCTTAAAAATTTACAGTGGATTCAAAAAGTATTGGCATATTCTTTAAAACATAAGATATAACATTTTTAAAATTAAAATGAACTCAATGTTTTAAATTGTTTTAATAAATTAAATATTAATTTTAATAAATTAAATATTAATTTATTAAATTAAATATTAATTTATTAAATGAAGAAAATGTAATGTAAGAAAAATTTTGAAAAAATTTTGAAAATTTAAAAATCCTAAAAAAATAGCGAATGTTATTTTTTTCAATTTTTTTATTTTAACTTTTATATTTTAGCTTTTAAAATTTTAAAAATATTATATTAGATATACATTTTATTTTATAGAAGCCAATTATATACATATAAACTGAAAATTTCATTGAAAATAATTAACATTATTATGGATTACAATTTATTACATTACAAAGATAATGAAATTTTTTATTTTCGTTTAAAATCTTTTTTTGTAAAAAGATTTTTATATCTTTCGACGTTTGTTGTTTGTTTTTTCATCATTTGATTTCAATAAAATTTTCAGATAAAAATTTAGATTAAAAAAATTATAAAAAATAATATTCGTTATTTTTTTCGCAATTTCACAAACAAATTGCAAATTTTTCGAGATTTTTTTACATTTTATTTAATAAATTAATCTCTGATTTCTCAAAATAATTAAGTCCAATTTTTAAAAAATTACTTTTTTTTATTGTCTTTTTTGAATCATTGTAAGTTTATAATCAACCTTGTAATTACAAAAATGAAACTAAACAAATTTTAATCAAAAGCAATTTGTTTCGAATGATTCGAAGATAGTATGATCTACATTTTGCAAAAATTCTAAATTTATAATCAAACTTGTAATTATAAAATTTTAATCAAAACTAATCTGTTTCGAGTGATTCGACAATGTACTTTTTCCTTTGTTTACAAATATTCTAAGTTTACAATCAAATTTATAATTAAAAACTAAAATCAATCTGCTTCAAATAATTCAACGATAATATTCTTTTCTCTGTACTTATAAAAATCCTAATTATAATTACAAGAACAAAATAAAAAAACTTTAATCAAACTCACTTTCGAAGTAATTCAATGACAATACGCTTTCTTTTATTTTAGTTTGTAAAAATCTTGTTTACAATCAAATTTGTAATCACAAAAATTAAATTAAATAAATTTTAATAAAAATCAATTCGTTTCGACTGATTTGACAGTATTCTTTTTAATTTGCAAAAATCCTAAGTTTATAATGACAAAAAACAAAAATAAAAAAATTTTAATCAAAATTAATCTATTTCGAATGATAATACTTTTTCTTCTATATTTGCAAAAATCTTAAGTACAATAAAAACGTAAAGAAATTTTAATCAAAATCAATCCATTTCGAGTGATTTGACGACACCATCCTTTCCCCTATATTTTGATAATGTCTAATTCACGTTCCAGGTCGCAGAGAGGGTGTCGTAGGCCGCGAGGATGCGCAAAATGAACCAACCGGTCCTAGCCGCAGTCCTCGCGCGACTTTCGTTCCGAATGTATCGTCTATTTGCGTTCCTCTCGAAAAACGCTACGATCTTTGTCTTTCCGTGATTTACCACGGCGAATGTCTCGAGTGACTTTCATTTAACGAGACATATATATTGTATAGAATTATAATAATAACTTTCGATATTGTAATTTTCTTAAATGAGGAAGATGATGAAGAAACTTGATTTACGAAGAATTTTATTCATGGAAATTTTATATGAGGGAGTGAAAAGTGAAGAAAAAGTGCAGGAAGAGTTTAAAATACGCACATGTGATATAAATACGTATGACAGAATCAATTGAACGAGGTAACAGATTAGATAAAGAGTATTATGTTTTCCATTTCAATTATTGGACAATCAATTCTATAAAGACTATTATGTTTTCCATTTCAATTATTGGACAATCAATTCTTAATTTTCTTAAAATTTTGAAAGGAAACGTGAAGTATTTAAATTTAATGAATTTAATCGTGTGATTATAATTTAATAATAATTTAATTTAAAGAAGAATATTTTTGGAATGAAGTTTTTATTTGTCTATATAAATATTTGTTATGAATAAATATCATTGCAAAGAATTGGTCTTTTTTTCCTTAAAATATGCAAAATAATTATTGAGAATATTATTCGAAATTTATTTTACTAAATAATTTATTTATTTTTATTATAGTTGTCTTATATTTGTATATAAAATGAATATGAGATTAATAAAATAAAGATTTCATTGCATTAATTAAATTGCGGCGTTAAAAATAACAACTGCTATAAAATATTAATATTAATAATTATAAAATATTAATTTTTTATTATTATAAAAAATTAGAAATAGATAAATAAAATAATAATTATTGTTGAAATCCGATAAAAATGTTCTTTTATGTCTTAATTAATATTTTTTAAATTTTAATAATATAAAGAAAAAAATATAAAAGAACAATTAATAACAAATTTTTTATAAATTTTTATAAAAATCGTGCAAAAATGCAAAAAAAAAAGTATTCTCAAATTATAAAAAATCTTTCACTAAATTTTTGTTAAATGAATTTACTCTAGATCGTAAAAAAATTCGTATATATATATTTAACAATGTTTAAATGATTTTTCTATCGTAATCAAATTGATATGTTAATATCATTTGATCATTTGATTATTGGATTTTTATGAAAAATAAAATAAAAGTGTGTTCAAAACGAATATGAATTAAATAAAATAGTTCTATTAAAGGAATTGAAAATATAAAAAGTTTTTTGTGTGATATAATTTGTGTACTTTTCTTTTTGTTATAATTCTAGAGTGTTTTTTTTTTAATAAAAATATGAAATTTTTTTTCTTATGAAATATCAAAAATATTGAATGTGAACAAAAGTTATATTTCTTTTTTCTGTATTTACAAAATTGATTAATTATATTATTACATGTAATTATAATATCTAAAAATTTGATAAATTTTTATATATATAATTATAATTTTAGAGGATGAAATCTTTTTTCGAAATAAAATGGTTAATAATAAATAATATGATCTTTTAATAGATAAATGATGAATTATATTTATTAATATAAATTGTCAAAATTTTAAATACAATTTAATTCAAATAATCGTTTATTAAATAATTATCTATTTTTAACGCGTCATTATTAATTATTTATTTGTATCACATTAATTATCTATTTATATATAAGAATGAAAAATAATGTAAATGAAGTATGACTAAAATGAAGTCAATTATTTATCTAATTGTCTATTGTCTATTTTTATTTTATTGTCTAATTGTATATTTATATAATATATTGTATATTTATATAATAATTTGTATATTTAAAAAAGTTTCTGATTAAGAAATAATTGGTTAACAAATTAAAATATAATTAAAATATAAATTTCAACTTTCGTTAAAATAAATCAACTAAAATAATATTTACATATTTAATTTGTAAGAAATGAAATAAATAATCATAATAGTATTAACTAATTTAAAACAATTAATTTAAAGGTAATTTCAATGAATTTTAGAAGGCAACGTGTTTATTTAAATATGAATTCAGAGCTTTTAACAAAATATCGACTTAAATAAATACGTAAAATCTGGAAAAAAATAAGTAAAATCTGGAAAAAAAACTAAAAAGCGGAAAGAGATGTATTTAAAGTACTTAAATTTAAAGAATATTTTAATACAAAAAATATATATACAATAATTAAAAAAATTCTAGATAAATTAATTAGAAATTTATTTAAAAAAATTGTTATTTTTCTTATATATATTTGCATATAATATAAATAATAAAATATATGAGAATATATAAATAATTACTGACGATTTTTGAACGATGATAATATAAAATATGTATAATGATTTCATATTTCGGTAATATAAAAGGAAAAACATTTTCTTTCCTCTAAAAATGGATCAAAATTTTTTTTTCTTCTTTTTTCTATTTTATCAAATCTTAATATATTATGAAATTTTTTAAATTTTAATTTATAATTATTGTTAACATTAACAATAACAACGTTATTTTTTGTTAAAGTTATCAATTTTCAATCTTTTCATGAATGTATATTATTGAAATTAAAATTCAAAAATTTCAATCATATCAAAGTGTCAGATACATAGGAAATATACAGAAATTTAAAATCACAAAAAATCCAATTGCAATTATAAAGAATCACTTTATAAATTTTTGAAATAAAATGAAATTTTTATGCGAATAATAAAAAAATGAAATAAATAATTTGCTTTTATTTTACTAATTAGAAAATTATAAAGAAATTTTTTTTCTATAAGAGTAAAGAAATTTGATAATATTTAGTTATATAAAGCAAGAACAACAATTAATCAATTGTAACTAATATTAAATCCATCATATTTTTTTTCTTTTCACTATAAAATTATTTTAAATAATAAAATCTTTGAAAATACAAAACAAAAAATTAATACTAATAACTATAATAAGTTTTTTATTAAAAAGAAAAAATTTATTAACAAAAGAATTAGAAACTTGCTTCAACTATAAAATATAAATAATAATTAATTAATTGATTAAAAGTATATAGGTATGTAAAATTATTATTTTTCTATTGAAATAATATACTTAGAATAATTTAATATATAGTTAACTGAATATTTTTCCTTTAATAATCTAAAAAAATTTGTACAAAAAATTGATCCCTTGTTATAAAATTTAAAAAAATGTAAAGTAATCAATGAAATTAAAATTATTTTGATTAGTTTTTCAGAAAGCAATTTATAATGCTTCAAGCTACATGATTACTCAGAATTAAAGCTATCATTGAAAATAAATAAAAAAATACTTACTTTTATATAAAATAATTTTTCATTACAATGCATCGCATAAATGATCGCACGTATTATCTAATTACGTTTTGTATACCGTCACTTTTGTTTTAGGCTTATATATATATGTCTACAATAGTGTTTATGGTGGATGGAAGCTTAATTTGATATATATTCATAGAATGCTCTTCGACAAATGGTATAAATGGTATATTTTCTTAACGATAAAGAGTGTATTATAGTGCGGTATGTGTGTTTGTACGAGATCTGGTCTCTCACAATGTCAAGTTATCGTGTCTAACGATCAGAATACAATGTGTAGTTACAAGAAAATTATTTATTTATCGTATCCGGCCGTTAAAGTAGTGGACATATTCATAACGAAATGTTAATTAAATGTAATTTTTCTTAATTTTTGATGAAGAATCGTGCCTTTAGAAATTCTTTCTTCCACGGGAAATTCTTTATCCCATTTTGGATTTTAATGGGAAGGAACGCGAATTTTCAGTTCGAAAATAGTTAATAAGATCGTAGTCAGTCTCTCTACTTGCGATATTTCCAAATTTAAGGAAATTCCTTGAATTAAATTAATATTTATATATATTATATATTTAATATAATAAAATTTATTATTATTAATATCACATAAAGATCCGATGTTAATCAAGAATTTATCGTATATCATAAATCTTCTCGCTCATAGAATGATAATGTAAACTGTCTGGAATATATTACCGTTTGCTTTGGGATTATGTTGCATTCCTGCTAAATTGAGATATCTTAAATTATATATAAGTTCAAATATAATTTTCTCAAAAACAACGTTATTTTAGGCAGCATTATCCTAGAAAGATTTTTGTTTAATTTAATGACCAGTGACCAAAAATAATGGGAGACTTTTCATGGAAGATTTCTCAGAATACCATTTATCGCGAATAATTTCTTTTTATTTTTATTTTTTCTTTGTATAATATTATAATATACTAGCGAAATTAAACAAATGAATCAATAATCAAAATAAGTTTAAAATTTAAAAATTAAATTATTTATATCAATTATGATTTCCCTATTTTTCAAGAATTCAAATAGCATAAAATTTTTAAATTCGAGAAACTTTTTCAATTTTAAAAAATTTCAAAATTTTTAAATATATCTTATATTTAAAATAATTAAATTATATTTTTTTTTCAATTTTATGAAATTTACATTTTTAAATATTTATATTTTTTCAACTTTAAGAATATTTGAATAAAATCTAAAAGAATATTCATCTTAAAAATAAGTTTTTAGATTAAAATAAATAATTTCTTTATTTATTCGACATTTACAATTTTATAAAATATATTTTAAATATTTATTAAATTTTATTTATTTATTAAATTCTTTGATCAAATAATCTAAAAAAACATTTAAAAATATTCTAATAAAATCAAAACATATATTTTAATTTAAATAAAAAAAGAAATAGATCCAAGGAAAGAAAACATGTATTAGAAAGCTGAAATATTTTCTTAAGAAAATACTATTTCATTTAATGTCTAACAATAAGTCACGATAGTATTATTACAAGTATTATTCACAACAGATTTAAGTGAAATTTATTTCAAATAATAATTGAGACAGCAATATCATTCATAAGAAACTATAAACTATAAAAGAAACTATAAGAAACTATAAAAGATATTTCGTGTGTGCCTTATTAATTATAATCATTGGACGAGATATCCCGCGTTCTAGTGAAAAGATATGCAAAATATATTCTTCATAGCATTTTACAAACGATTGTTTGATGATATCATGTTTATAACATCTTGTTTATAACATCTCATAAACGATGTCTTGCTGCGTAAAATATCTTGTCTTTGTAGTAAGGAGGTTAATGGAAAACTCATTCCTAAAATAATTTTCGAAGTATTGAGCAATTTATGTAATAATAATCGTAATAAACGTGTAATAATGTTAGTCAGAAATAATAATAAAATATAAACATTTAATGCTGCATTAAAAAAC